TATAACAAATTTAAATAGCTACTTTTATAGATATAGGTGTAATAATAAATTTAAATAGCTACTTTTATAGTCGGTTTTTTCCGGTTATTTTTTTATTAAAACTAAAACCAAACCAAATTTGATCGATTTTTAAATTCAAAACCAAAACCAAACCAAAACCTAAAAGGTATCGGTTTTTTTGGTCGGTTTGGTTCGTTTTTTCGGGTTTTTATGTACAGCCCCACTAGCGGGAAAGGGAGAAAAACGGATACTCAATTTAAAGTGAGTAAACAGAATTTCATACTCGATCTCATAGATACATATAGAATTCTGCGGAAAACCCGATAAAAGTTATATGTTGTTGTTCTTTGTGTTGTGAGTGTATATAAGCTAATCCACACCTAAATAGAGGTGTCACGTGTCAAGCCTGTAATGAAAATTGCCTCCACAGGGTTCAACATCTTAATTAGTAGTAATACATTAGCCAACTTTTTAATTAAAAGGTTTCTTTCTAAAATCATTATAGTGCTGACTAAAAGTTATGAGCATCATTGCGATGAACTAATGGTGCTTCAAGTAGCATAGAAATTATGAGCTAGGCAATTTGCAGGTAACTAATGCATTTCATAGAAAGAGAATTTTAAAGAAAGAAAAACCAATTTTAGAAAATGAATCTCAGAAAAATTAAGACAGAAAATAGAAAAGTTATTCTTGTGTTGCCTATAATAACTTTGCTGAAAGTTCCATAAAAGAAACAGAAATTTTTTTTTGAAGAAAATGAAAAACGGCCTTTTCCTTAAAATGCAAATTAGCGTTTTTTCAAAAAAAAAAAAATTAAAAAAAATATCAAGATAAAGTGTAAAGTATTGTTTGTTTCTGTTTAGATTGTAAAGGTATTAAACAGCTTTCTTGCTTTATTTCTTTTGACACTATTCACTTTCGGATGATTGAGATCTCATATATTTGAGAATCTCTAAAAGTTATTTCATGTAATTTTAAAAAAAAAATCTTCACGCTTTCTTTGATTCTATTGTAGCTAATTGACTATTTCATACACACTATATAATCCACGTATGTTTTCAAAATTTTCTTTTCCTACCATTTTAGCTTGTTTGGATTGTTCTTACATCTCGTTTCATAATGTATCGTATTGTAATGTATTATTTGATGAATGCAAAGTTTGGACATGTTAAATCGTTTGTTGTCGTTTCATGATGTCACACATCATTAATATGAAGAATAAACTTGCAATATTACTAAGAAAAAGTCAGATACGAAGTAGAATTATGATATAAAAGAGAAAGGTAAAGGATAAAATAGGTTTATTTAATAACAAGGACAAGATGAGAGAAAAAGCAAGATAACTACGCCACCACACCAAATCCGTCATTTCATAAAGTGGCATTATATCATTACGTAACGATGGAGATACAATAAAATTTAAAAAATATTGTATTTAAAGTAACAATAGGTAATAACTATCCAAACAAGGGGTACCATAACATGATCGAAAAAGTTTGGAATTTACCCTATTATATTACGAAAAATAATGGGCCTCATTTTTAACTTTTCGCGATTTTTCCTTTTGCCACAGCAATTATCTGAAATTAAAGAATACATATTAAGTATGCAGTTCAAATGTTTTATTTTAATAAATTCTATAAATTCATATTTTGACGTTTTCTAAATTTTTATTAAAAGGTCCTCAAAATACTTAATTTCGGATAGATGTAACTTTGAACAATAATAGACCTGGAAGATACCAACAAGTATATTTAAGGATAGTCTTATCTTATGAGTGGATTAATATGGAAATAATTCTTTTTTTGTTTGTTGACTTTGCAGTATCCTCAAGGGTTTGTTCAACAGGATAAAATTAATACTAAAAGGTAATGTTCAACAGGATAAAATTAATACTCCCTCCGTTTCAAATTAAATGAGGTAATTTGACTCGGCACGGAGTTTAAGGAAAAAAAGAAAGACTTTTGAAATTTGTGGTCTTACAAGCTTAAGGGGTAAAACTTTGTGGGGCCATGACTTTTGTGTGGTTATAAAAGCTTTTCATTAAGGGTAAAATGGGTAAAATGAGGAGTTTAAAGTTGAATTATTTCCAAATTTAGAAATGTGTCATTTATTTTGGAACAGACTAAATAGGAAAGTACCTCATTTAATATGAAACGGAGGGAGTATTAGTTATTTAATAAAAATATTTATGACATATTTTAGACTATAACAACAATAGTAAATTTTGACAAGTGGGTCTGGGAAGGGTAAGATGTACGCAGTCTTAGTCCTACCTTGGGAGGGTAGAGAGGTTGTTTCAGATAGACCTTCGGCTAAAGAAAAGATGAAAAGAAGCAGTGGCAAAAGTAGTAACAACTAAAAGATATTATGAAGACTAAAGTCAAAATAGCAATTAAACGACAGGTAGTAATAGCAGTCTAAGAATAAAAAGATATCATCTTAACACTAATGCTATCGAACTAAGGAAGAGAAAGAGAAATGCTTGACTAAATACTAACCTTCTACCCTAATCCCCGACCTCCACACCCTCCTATCAAGGGTCATGTCCTCAGTAAGCTCCAGTTGCGCCATGTCCCGCCTAATTACCTCCCCCCTAGACTTTTTTGGCATACCTCTACCCCACCAAAGCTAATCCCTCACACAACCTAACTGGGGCATTTGTGCTTCTCCTTTAAACATGCCCGAGTCATCTCAACCTCGCCTCCCGCATCTTATCTTCCAAAGGGGCCACTCCCACCTTATCCAAACAACTTTATTCCTAATCTTATCTAACCTGGTATGCCCACACATACATCTCAACATCCTCATTTCAGCTACTTTCATCTTCTGGACATAAGAGTTCGTCACTAGCCGACATTCTTCCCCACACAATATAGTCGGTTCAACCAATACTTTGTAAAACTTACTTTTAAGTTTCAGTGGAACAATATTATTATCACAAAAGACACCAGAAGTGAGCCTCCACGTAATCCACCATGTTCCGATACGATGTGTGATATCCTCATCAGTCTCCCCATCATCTTGTATTACTGACAAAAGGTACTTAAAACTTTCTCTCATGGGATGACTTATGTATCAAGCGTGACATCCATATCCGCTTCCTGGGTGACGTTCGGAACTTGCATTTAAAGTATTTGGTCTTGGTCCTACTCAACATAAAACCTTTAGACTCAAGAGTTTGTCTTCAAACCTTCGGCCTCTCGTTAACACCGCTCCGCGTCTCGTTCATCAGAACTATGTCATCTGCAAATAACATATATCATGGTACCTCCCCTTGAATGTGTCGCGTCAATGCGTCTATTGCCAAGGAAAATAAAAACGGGCTAAAGGTTGATCCCTAATGCAATCCCATCACAACCGAAAAGTGTTCTAAGTCTCCTCTTGTTGTCCTTACCCGTGTCTTAGCTCCATCATACATGTCCTTAATTACCCTAATGTAGGCTACAGGCACACCTTTACCCTTCAAACATCTCCATAGAACCTTTCTTGGGA